GCTGTGATGAACATCATGATCAAAAGCAAGTGGGAAGGAAAGGGTTTATTTGGCTTATGCTTCTACATCATGGTCCATCTTTGGAGGGAATCAGGGCAGGAACTCAAGGCAGGAACTGAAGCAGAGGTCATGGAGGAGGGCTGCTCACCAGCTTGCTCCTCATGGCTCACACAGCCTGCTTTTTTATAGCATACTGGTCCACCAGCCTAGGGGTGGCACTGCCCAAGCAAACTGGACCCCCTCCAGTATCACTAAAGAAGATATATCACAGGCTTGCCCACATGCCAGTGTGATGGGAGAATTTTTTTAATTGAGGTTCCCTCTTCCCAAATGACTCCAATTTATGTCAGATTGACATAAAATAAGTCAGCACATGAAATATATTTGTATTTGTGTTATGATGACAAAAGCTGGCTGTGACAGAAGGCAAGAACATAAGTTAGGGTTGGGGATCTAGCACAATCAGTTACATGTTTGTCAGGCAAACACAAGGACCTGAGTTCTGTCCCCAGTGCCCATGTAAAAAGAAGGGCATGCGGGTATGTGCTTTTTCTCCCAACAGTGGAGAGGTAGAGTCGGGGGATCCCTGGAGCCCACTGCCAGCAAGTCTAGCCTACTTGGTGAGTACCAGGCCAATAAGAAACCTCATCTCACAAAACAAGGTAGACAACGCTTGAAAAAACGACACCTAAGGTTTCCCTATGGCCTCCAAATGCACACACACACACACACATACACACACACACACACACACACACACAAACACACATCCAACACACATTTGCACATACATATGCATTTATACACATGAAAAAGCACACATGTGAACACACACACACACACACACACACACAAACATCAGTGGCTTTTTCAAAAGATGGAGTAGCGTTCTGCATTTTCTGGCACTTTCTGTGCCTGACTTCCACAAAGAGATAGCTTTATACTCTTTGTGAACCATCTCCCAGGATCCCAGGGTAGGATCTCCAGGGGAAGAAAGGGACCAGCCCTCTCATATCCAGGTCAGGTTGTAGACCTCATTCTGACACACTGTGTCTGCAATATTAATTTTGTCTGTCAATGTGTCTTGGCTAAGGAATGCACACAAAATTGGCAAAACCTTCTAGATGTGACTATAAGGATGCTTCGAAGAACTTAGCATCTGCATCAGTAGATAGAGTGAAGATTCTCCATCCTCACAACATGGCAGCAGCATCTGATGGTGATAGCTTCTGAACAAAAGGCAGGGTATGGTGAATTGAGTTTCCTTTCATCCTTGATCTGTAGTCCTTCAGCATAAGGCTTCCCCCTGTCTCGTTCTGCCTACTCCTACCTCCAGTGCTCAGTCTTGGCCTCTGAGGGAGACTTACTCTATCAGCTCCCCTGGTCCTCAGGCCTTCAGACTCAAAGTAAATCCTATCCCAGCATTCCTGTTTCCACCTGGCAGAGGGCAGACTGTGGTACATTTTAACAGAGTCACACGAGCCAGTTCTCATATTATGACTTCTTTTAAAAATATTTTAAAATCATATATGTTTATTTGTTTATTGTGTGTATGTACTGGAATACACACGTGCATGCGCATGTCTTGGTGCATGTGTGGATGTCAGAGGACAACCTGTGGGAGTCAGTTCTCTCCTTGTACCGTGTGGGTCCTGGGGATTGAATTCAGGCCATCAGGATCGGCAGCAGGTGCCCATATTTGCTGAGCCATCTCACCTGTCCCTTGGTTCTCATACATTTCCTGTTGGGTCTGCCTCTCTGGAGAACTTTATGTCTCTGTCAGTGCAGGGTACTGTAACAAGACACTACAGACTTGGGCAAATTAAAGAGCAGACATTTCTTCCTCATAGTGCTGGAAAAGCCCAAGACCAATCCAATGTCAGATTCTGTGTCTGGTAGGGACCAGATTTCTGGTTTGAGGACAGCTACCTTCTCTTACATCTTCACACGGGGAAGAGAGAAAATTCTAAACTTTCTCTTACCAGTCCATCATGGGCTCCACCCTCGTCTCCTCACTTGAACCTAAACACCTCCCAAAGGTGCCCTCCCATACCGTCCGTTTGGGTTAGTTCCCACCTGTGATTCTTTGGGAGACGCGAATGTAAAGTCCATACTCCTGGGCAGTGAAGGAGTTAAACTCCAAGGACATTTATCACAATAATTAAGCCCTATCAAAATTAAGCAGGCATCACTCTCCCTATGATAACTGGACCTTTCAATGTCAGGCCCAAGGACTCCTACTCAGCTTCTGGGTGTAATTCATCTGTCGAGACAGCTCTGTATTAACCCACTAATCTATGTGTGGCTAATGACTCAGGACGGCCCATTGACCTTGACTTCTCTTGAAGGTTCTCATTGTGGCTGCCCTCCCCAATAAGTGCAGGGGTTGGACGTGGGTGGCTTGGCACGGCACCCTTCTCCCCTCCCCAACTTGACGTGAGTATAGAAAGCATTCCTTCCCTATCTTTTGGCCAGGGTTTTTACAAGCCTGCCTTGGAGCCTCTCCATACGTCCTGTGAGCCTTCACCAGCAACCTCTCAGCTCAGCTTCCTCTGCAGCCACCTCCCACCCGTGGATCACCCACTTCTGACACCAGGTGCCCAGAAGTGGGGGTTGAACACTGCTTCGTAGAGGAGACCCCAAGAGACCTCACCGCACGTTGTTAGACCCACACACAGCACCACAGGAAGACCCCGGGGCAGGCAGAAGGAGAGGCTGGAGGCGCTGTTTGAAGGCACCGTCCTCTTTTCTGGAGGAGAGACATGGACATTATCAGCTGCTAACCATGGCTTTTGCCCCTTTCTGCCAAGGCCCATAAATGGCCACCAGGCAGATGATCCCTGGTAGGCTGTAGGCACCAAGGTCACAAATCACGGTGACCAGAGCCCAGAGGACCACCCTGGGTTTGGTGTGAGTGGCCTCACAGTAGGCTCTACCTTTTATTGGAAGCCCCCCACAAACCCCAAGCTTCCAGAGGCATTCATTAAGCTTCCTCTTTCTTCTTTGTCTCCTTAGACACTGGACCGAAGAGCTACATTTAAAATTTTCCCTGACTGATTTATACCCTGCCTGCTTCCAGAAGGGATGACAATGAAACCGCAGGTACAGTGTGGCCAGGCATATGTAACCAAGACAAAGGATGGGGAACAAAGGCAGAGGATCATGGCCAGCCTCAGGCTTTCAGGACAGCGGAGTCGGAGATTTCATTCTCCGGGTATCTTTAAACTTCCCCAAGATGTAAAAGGTTACTTCCTTTATTTCTGAAACCCTCTCCTCCGGGCCCCATCTGAAAGGCAGCCCCGCTTTTGTGACTGAGCAGGGAGGGCTGATTTCTGCTCACAGGAGTTGTTCGGGGCTGGGCTGGCTGGCACAGCGGCTGAGGCTGAGGCTGGCTTCCTCGCTGTCACTTGACGGCTTTCAGCACACTGCCTGTGCCCACAGAAAGCCCGGGCAGGATTGTATTTCTCAGCTGAGTCTGCACACTGGTGACATGCTGTCCGAGCCGGGCCCAGCCTGGCTTACAGTGTTCTTCTCTCGTCATCCTTACAGGAACAAAGGAGGAAACCCGGAGCGAGTCCCTGTTTGAGACCACTGCACCTGGCCTTGTGGGCCATCCATCCAGAAGAGGAATGCGTATTGTGCCCCCTGGAAGAGGCGGGCACGATCCCAAATCATGTCCGGAAGTGAAAGGGGAAGAGGAAGAGGTGAAAAGTGCTGAGTGTGGGCTTTGTAGCGAGGTTCCCTCTTTGGGGAGGGCCAGAGGAGGCTTTGGCTAAACTCCACCCACTTCTAATCACTCTCTGAGCCTTAAGAACAAGCCCAGCAACTGGGGAGGTTGAGGCTGGAGGATGGCAGATCCAAGGCCAGCTTGGGCAACTGAGTGAAACCTGGTCTCAAAAAATGGAAAGGAGGACTGTGGGTAGAACTCGGTTGGAAAGCACTTGTTTAGTATGGGGCAGGCGGTGTGGGGGTGGGGGCTCAGTAAAGTTAAGTAATAAAATAAAATAAAATAAAATAAAATAAAATAAAATAGGTAAGCAAAATGAAAGAGGAACACAAAAACTTCCTTTGGTTTCCGTCAATAAATCATAAAGAAATTTGTCCTCAAAGCTTGCATGGATGGGCTGGGTGGAGCTCAGGGGTAGAGCACAAGTCCAGTGCGTGCAAGGCCTGGAGATCCATCCCCAGCACCCTGACCGGGCAGATTCCGCAGTGGTGTCCTCTCGTGCCTTGGCCAGGGTCTAAAGACACAGAGCACAGAGTTCGAAAACATGAGACTGCCCTTCGCAACTCTGCATCGGATCTGAGGACATCTTCCAGTGCGTGCTTTCTTACTTACAGTAATGGGGAGTTAAATTAAACTGCAGAAATGAAAAGCCACACATGCAGATGATTACAAAAACATTCACGCGTGTGAGGTGTGTGTGTGTGAGGTGTGTGAGGTGTGTGTGTGTGTGTGTGTGTGTGTGTGGTGTTCTCCTCCCCGAAGGCCTCTGTCCCTCACCATGCACAGCAGCTCGGGTCGTTTGGGCAGGGACAGCTGCCAGAGGCGGGCTTGCCTCACCCCTGCCTCCCTCTCCAGCTCCACTCCTCTCTGGCAGCAGCTGATGCCCAGGATAGGTCGGAGTTCCCCCAGGCAGCTGGTCCTGGTTGAGAACTGGGAGGCTTGACCGCTCCCTGTGTGTGTGCCGGGGTGGGGTGAGGGGGCAGGACTGGAACGCAGGCTTGTGAAACCCCAGCCTGCTGACCTTTGGGGATGGTGAAGCCACCTGTGCCTTGGAGGCGGGGGAGGCACGGAGGTGGGGTGGGCAGGGAGAGCCAGGAAGAGGACAGCTGAATATGGCTGTGTCATTCACTCTGGGCTTCCAAGCCACCTTCCCTCCAGGCTTTTCCTTCTCCCCATTAGCATCCTCATCCCACGCCCCAGGGCATGCGGTCAGATGATGACAGCAGCCGCTCACCCTGGGTGCTGCACGTGGGTTTCCCTGTGTCTCTGCAGGTCCCGCCCAGCCACCCGGCCCGCGTCACTGGCTGCTCCTCCACCTCTTACTCTGTAGCCCTCATCTCCCCAGCCTCTGCCTAGCTTTCCAATGACCTTCGGGCTCTCTGACCTGCACGACACAGTCACCTTAGGATTTACCACCACCTGGCACCCCGTGAATACGTGCAGTTATGTCCGCCCTGTGCTATCTAGAATTCAAAGATGGGGCTGGGGGTGGGGTCGAGGCCTGACACAGAGGGAATGCTCAGGAAATGCACGTTGACGGAACACAGGGAGGAGAAAACAACTTCAGACAGTTCGAGTCACTTTGCCCGGAAGGAAGGTTGAGAAGCTACTGTCTCGGGGTTCCTGGACACCCTGGTGTCTGAAACACCACCTCCACGCCCCATTCCCTGGTCAGACATCCCTCCCTGCCCTTAGCTCCACAAGAAACGATTCACTTCTGCTGTCAATCACCCCCTACCTCCCACCCGGGTAGTATCACCCAGAGGCCTCAGGAGGATCAAGGGACCCCCTTAACCCAATGTGTGTTCTTAACTTGCTGAGGAAGAAGATGGCCATGCCCCCCACGGGCCACGAGGGAGCCTCCTTTTTGCAGGATGCTTCCCGAAATGGTGTCTGGCAGCCCACTGAAGATGGGCGGGTGAGCCGGCTCTACCTGTCTTTAGATTTGGAATCTAGGTCACTCTCTCTGCTGCTCCTCCCTCCTCTCTTAGAAGATAAGCAGGATCTTTCCTAGGGTCTCCTAGTGAGGAGACAAGGGCAGCGCTTCCATAGAGCCCACACCCTGCCCGGGGCTGTCAGGAGCACTTCATTTTGGAGCCAATATAATTTATGAGATGCAAATGGATTTAGCATTTAAAAGAGGTGGGGAGGGAGTGGAGGGGGGGACGACTTGGAAAAGGAACAAAGTGCATTTTACACCCTCTGCCGAGGCGTGTTTGGGGCTCCATTAATCATCTCAGACTAAAGAGATTTAATCTCCGGCCAGCCAGGCTGAAGAGCGCCTGCACCTCTCACCCAGCCCAGGAGGCCAGGCTGGGCACAGTGGGCGCTGGATGCAGGCCTGGCCTCCCCGCAGGCTTCAGCCGCCGGTGCACGGCACTTGCGCTCAGCTCTGTTCTGAGTCACACAGTAGATGAAATTACAGAGGTTTCTGCGCACGGTGAATCAGAGAGCAGGATCAAGCCAAATATTTGGACAAGCCTTGCCCTGCAGGGCTAGGGAGCGGGCTGAAGACCCTGCAGCCAGCATGCAGCCTGCCAGCCAGCCGCAAGCCTGGAGATTGCTTCTGACAAAGTGCTGCTGCAGGGCTGGCTGTGGCTGGGGAGGGAATTAGCTCAGATCCAGAAAAGCAGGCTGCAGTCAGCTCTCCCGGCCAGTGCTGGGAAAGGAGGCTGTGGGCATCTCAGGGCTCTGAGCTATGCTTGGGTGTTCTATCAGGTGGAAGAGGCTTGCCTGGGTGCAGCTTTCAAGAGGAGCGTGGGTCGGGAGGTGATGGCTCCCTTTGAGTCACCCTATCTCTTCTCTTTCTGGAAGCCCTCAGGGTGGCAGGCATGGTAATCTCTACCACGCCTGCGTAGGCCTGGTAGGAGACACTTAAGAGACGGTGGCCACAATATCTGAAGTGGGACAGCTCAGTCCGTTCCTAAGACTTCACTGCCGTGACAGCTTCCCTAATTGCTACCCTTTGGAGCTTCAGAGTTACCCTTTTTGAGTCTGTTTGGAACAATAAAATCAGTAATAAAAACGCTACTGAAGTCTATCCGGGATCTTTAAAATAAAACAAAACTCACCTTTGAAACAGCCCAACATCTTCAGGTTTATTTTAAATGATGCCCCGCCCCCTGCCCCTTGCAAGGAAGCTTCCAGGTAGACAAATTATCTGCAATGAAGGAAACGAAACACCTCTTGATGCGGATGGCACCTACTTGTGGACTGACCATGTGCCAGGTTGTCTCCTTCTTGATATTTCACCTGGTAATGTCTTGAGTGGGCTCCTGAGGGCCTCTGGGTGTTCCTATTTTCTCATTTTTGCAGATGAATAAACAGTCTTGGGAGGTTATGCAACTCCCTAGGGTCACATGGCTAGCCAGTATACAGCTAGAATTTAAACTTAGGCAACCAGACACCAGCTTATATTCTGCCTCCCAGCAGCGCTAATGATATTTGAACCTGATAGCAAAATAACCATGGGAACTAATTCAAGCAAAGCCTAGAGTTTCTAGCCCTCTCTAAGTGTTCAGACCTAGAAAGAAGTTAGCTCAGATCCAGAAAAAGGGGACTGCAGTCAGCTCTCCTGGCCAGTACAAGACTCAATGGCTGCCTTCAAGATCCTGGCCCATACTCCAAGCTCAAAGAAGGTCTACAAGGGAGATAGTTTCCCCAGACACAAAGTGGTCTTTAACTAGAATCTAACCTGTCTGCGCCAGCCCTGCTTCCCCATTGACGAGACTCGGCCAAGATCTTACCTGGCACCCTCTGAGACAGAAAGATTGTGGAGCCTGCACTAGGTAGTGGAGAGTGGGCTGTTGTGGAGATGGAGAAACTGGGCTCAGAACTTGGCTTTGGACATCATTAGCTGTGAGCACATCCTTCTTGCTTCAGAGTGCCTCAACTCGATGGGGTGAGACACCTGTTTATCATGGTTGCAGATTGTGTAGGATGCTGCTTGCATCATGGTACTTGGGTCTCATTTGTGAGTATTTGCAATGGAAAGGATAATGACTTGACAGCTGGGGTTGGAATTATTTGCAGACAGCTTGGCTCAGATGTCTAGTGGGTGGTCCTGGGTATTCAGCTGGTTCAGCTACAGATGATGATCTATATGTGGCCTGGGCTTCCTCACAGCATGGAGACCTCTGGGTAGTTAAATTTGTTACATACTAATTCTATTTGTTTTCTAGGGCTGCTTAACGAAACATCACAAACTGGGTGACCTGGAATCATATGAGGTGTTTAATAGTCACTGAGCAGCTGGGATCCTTCCATCATTGTTTAGAAGGGGGTTATTCAGAAAACTTCCCAGATGAGCAATGGATCATAGCACAATGAAAAGGAAACACTTTCACATACTGAGCTGCTAAGATTTGGGGCTTATTTGTTACTACAGCAGGGCCTATCCTATCCTGACTATAACAACCATTCAGTGCTGATCTCTACTGAGATATACAATGGTCAGCCTTAGCTACCAACATACATTTCAAAACTGGCATTTGTGGAAACCACAGAACTTGCTATTGTCAGTGTCTATGAGACTGAGCATCTCCTCATGTAGCTGCCAGTTTGCACGGCCCATCTGGTCACTGGTGACTGCGTCTTCCCGTTGTGTGGTAATGAAGGCCCACTGCCTTCCGTGTTCTACTCAGGCCATATTCATCTCAGGGGAACAGACAGTGAGGGCTCTCTGCCCAATGTCTGCAGGATTATAGGAGACTCTGACAAGGCTTCATCATTCTGCTTAACTTGCAACCCAGGTCTCTTTTCAACTGCTTCTCCATCAGGCATCTGATGAAAATTTTCCCCCTACCTTTAGGTTTCTCCAAACTCATCTAGAGGGCTCTTTCTTTTCCTTAGAACCTGACCTGTCTTGGCAGGACAGAGAATAGCAGCCTTCTGCCGGCCATCCTTCTCCCTGAGCCCCAGCAAGCTGGGTCTGTCTACATGGTACACTGTCCCCCGCCCACTCCCACCCCCCCCTTTTTTTTTTGTTTTTGAGATGGATTTTTTTCTGTATAGCTCTGGCTATCCTGAAACTCTCTCTGTAGACCAGGCTGGCCTCAAACTCACAGACATTCACCTGCCTCTGCCTCCCGAGTGCTGGTATTAAAGGTGTATACAACCGCTGCCCGGCTCTTCTCATTTTTTTGAGAAATAAACTTTATGCCCCAACTTAGTTTCTCTCTGAAATACAGTAAATCTTTTTTTTTTCTT